AGCCAATCAAGAAAATTTTGCAAAGGCAGTAAAATAATCTAAAATGATCGCTTTTTAGGACAATTAAGTTACAACCCATAATTCTAGCATCTGATGTGGCAGTGGGTGCAAGCTATTTAAAACTCAATTACCATAGTAATTATAACTATTTCTTGTACACGTTAGAAATCCCAGTGGGGCACGAGACGCTCTGTGTGCGAGTCGGCGGTACGACACTTTAACTCGATGGATTTTCGTACGCCCGGCAGCGACGATGATCCACCCACACGACTTGAAATAATTGCAAAGAAAGCCTATGAGCAACAAGAAATGCTTTTTAACTTCAGTAAATTTCGATGATTTCTCCCATTTTTTAAAAATTTATGAGACATGGTTATAAACCGGATGTCAAGGGAGATAAGACATAACAAAAACACTTGACAGAAAATAAGGAAAATTTGGCTCAGCGACCAAGAAAACAAGGATACATCTCTGGTGGTATAAGATTGTGTATAAGATAAATAGATAGAGAGGGAGGGAGAGAGAGAGAGAGAGAGAGAGAGAGAGAGAGAGAGAGAGAGAGAGAGAGAGAGAGAGAGAGAGAGAGGAAGAGAGAGAGAGAGAAAAGTGGGGTGAGGGAGGGAGGAAGAAAGAGAAAGAGAGAGAGAGAGAGGAAGAAAGAGAGAAGGAGAGAGAGAGGGGGGTTGGGAGACAAGCAGACAGATGGGCAGACAGAAAGATGGGCAGACAGACAGACAAACAGACAGATAAGCAGACGGACAGACAGAAAGATGGGTAGACAGAAAGACAGACGGGCAGAAAGACACACGGCTAGATAGATAGATAGATATACAGACAGAAAAAGAGTACGAGGGAGAGACAGAGAAAATCATATTTTCGACGCGTTTTTTGTTTTATTTTATTTTATCTAGTTACATATTTATCTATTTATTATTATTATTTCATCTTAGGTTGGCATTGGTGTTATTAATATTAGGAATTTAGGATTTGCAGAAATATTGGAAGGGTGAGAGAGAGAGAGGGGGGGGGAGACAGACAGACAGATAGAGAGAGGAGACAGAGAGAGAGAGAGATGGAGACAGAAAGAGAGAGAGAGAGAGAGAAAGAGAGAGAGAGAGAGAGAGACAGACAGACAGACAGACAGAGACAGAGACAGAGACAGAGACAGAGAGAAGGAGACAGAGAGAGAGAAAGAGAGAGAGGGGGGTGTGGAGAGAGAAAAAAAAAACAATGAATGAGTATGTGTTTGTTTGCACGTAAACGGACACACATTCATCCTTTTTAATTTAATTTTTACGTTTGTGTGCATGCGAGTGTCATCAATAATCTAATCAAGACTGTTATCATTGGTCCTATCTTATAAGTAATCGTTATCGAAAGACGTGAAGGGCGCGCATCTGAAGGCATCGTGTGTCATTTGTTTTCCAGATAAAACAGGATATTTGTCTTCTTATTGTTCTTTCTTCTTTATGCAGCTTTTTTCGTCAATTTTATTTTGTTCTTTCTTATTGAGATTGTTTCTTATGTTTTATTTTAAGTGCATTTTTCCCTGATTTTTCACTATTTCTCTTTTTTTTCTATTTTTCTATTTTCTATTTCTTTTTTTCTATTTTGTCTCGTTTCTTTTCTTCCCTCCATTTTTCTGATTCTCCTTTATTTCGCTTTTGTTAATTTCTTCTCTTGTATTTTAAGATTCTTTACTATTTCTTGTTTTTCTGTTTCTTCTGTTCTTTTTTTCTGAATCTTCTGAATTTCTTCATTTCTTACCCCTTTCTTTTACTCTTGCTTAGTTCTCTTTTCTCTATATCTTTCTCTATTTCTCTTTCTCTTCTCCCAGTTTCCTCCCCCTTTCTTTTGTGCGATTCTTCTCTATTTCTCCTCTCTCTCTCTCTTCCCTCTGTTTCTCCCTCCGTTTCCTTTCCTACCTCGTGATTCTTCTCTTTCTCCTTTCTCTCTCTCTCTTCCCTCTATTTCTTCCCTATTCCCTTTCTACCTCGTGATTCTTCTCTATTTCTCCTTTCTCTCTCTCTTCCCTCTATTTCTCCCTCCGTTCCCTTTCCTACCTCGTGATTCTTCTATTTCTCCTTTCTCTCTCTCTTCCTTCTATTTCTCCCTCCGTTCCCCTTCCTCCCTCGTGAATCTTCTCTTTCTCCTTTCTCTTTCTCTCTTCCCTCTATTTCTCCCTCCGTTCCCTTTTCTACCTCGTGATATCTGCAACACTAACAACCCATTTTTTCCTCAGCCATCTGCCTCGAGACGAAAGCCGATCCTGTCCCTTGGCGCCAAAGTCAAGATTCTGTCCCCGGGTATGGGCATCGAAGTCACAGCTATTCTCCTGGCAACCGAGGTCCTTCTCCTTGGCGTGGGAAAGGAGATTATGGCCGTTTAAATTACGGTTCTACTTTTGGTCATGGGCATCCGAATCATGGGCATCCCGGTCATGGGCACTTGGGTAGTTCTTCTTCTTCTTCTGCGCCTGGTTATGGGCAGCGAGTTGACG